TTTTTCCTTCTTTAAAATAAAAATAACTGATGTCAATTAAAAAAAAATAAAGTTAATGAAGCCATTGCTTTGTTTTGGTCAAAGGATTCATTATAACTCTGCAATCATAGATATACTATGATTTTTATTCCTGTAAATAAACCATTTGTATTTTACAGGCTTGATAATATTTTCTGAAATGCTCAAAGATTAATATGACATAATGAGAATGAATATAACGGGCAATATAGAAGATGAGAGAATTTGAGAAAGAAAATCTCCATTATGTTGTGAATAATTATAACATTGCTTGGTTTAAATAACTTTTTGGGCCAGGGAGGTGGCTTAGGAGAATAAGTGCTTCCCTGGCAAGCACAAGGGCCTGAGTTTGATCCCCGGTTCTGCCAAAAAACATAAAAATAAAAATAAAGTGATTAACTTTAGCATTGTTGAAGGTAAAATGAATGAGAGAACTGCTTCATTGAAATTGTATCCATAGGCACTTCCTTCATATTTTCTGTAGTTAATTTTTTGGATGCTTTTTATATACATTTCAAAAGGATAGTCCTCCTTGGGAAAATCTTGGAAACGTTTTCTTTAAGCAACTGCAGGATTATTCAGAGTTCCTGTTTTCCAAGTTACGTAAATGTGAACTGAGATTGAGGTTGAGGTGCGGGCTTGGGGTCACCTCTTCTTAGCCATCCTGATGCACATGCGTGACCTTCTCCCGACACGCAGCGAGGTGGGCGGCCCTTTGCTCTGCTTGTGCCCTTGAAGCTGTAGCCAAGGACAACGCGGCTTCGCTTTCCACCCCAGAACGTCTTGGGCTTTGACTTCTCGATCCCAGGTACCATGCTCAGCGTAAGAGCTTCAGCACTCTGCTCCATTGTTCTGTGGATCTCTCGCTGACATTTTTGTCCTCGTCATCTTGAATATTTTGTTTGCTACTCAGAGCTTTCATTAAAATATATTTTATCCAGCACTTTTGGGTTATTTTAAGCACGGTGATTCGTCTGAGTAAACTACTCAAATATTGCCCCCAAACTGATGTCTGTTCTGAGCTGTACAGATTTTTCTCTTTTTTATGATTTTTCTACTGGCACATGTCTGTCTCTGAAATGAGCACTCCTGGGAGGAGCTGGTGTACGCACATAACGCTTCTTAATTCTTTTCTTTCTTCAAACCACATTCTCTCCCTGTCTCTCCTCCCTCCCTCCTTCTCTTGATCCTCTTACTTTCTGAAAAAGGTCCATCTCCCTAATTCCTCTTACTTTTTATTCTGCCCTAATTCTATTTTATGTTTCTCATAAAAAAGAAATCATGTAATAGGTGAGCTTGTGTGTCTGATTTATTTCACTATAGATTCTGTAGTAAGAGGTATTAATTTTCCATGAATGACTCCAGTTTGTCCATCTTCATGGTTCAGTAATACTCCATTGTGTATAGATACCACATATTCTTAATCCGTTCATCTGCTGATAGACATAGAGGCTGTTTCCAAGATTTAGCTATTATGAGTTGTGCTGCTACAGACATGGGTGTGTATCAGTGTAATATGATGTCTTAACTCTTCTGGGAAGATAGCTAGGAGAGGAATAGCTGGGTCAAATGAAATTTCTAGTTCTAGCGTTTGAGTGATCTCTGTACTGATTTGCATACTGGTTGTATGAGTTTGCATCCCACCAACAAAAAAGTAGAAGTGTTCCTCAGCTTCACAATCATTTGTTCTTATTATATTTCTTGGTGGTAGGCAGTTTTTCTGGAGTAATGTGGAATCATATTGTTGTTTTAATTTGCATTTCTCTAATGGTCAGAGATATTGAACATTTTTCATGTATTTATAGGCCATTTGTTCTTCTGAGAGCTTCTATTCATTTCAGTTGTCTTTTTTTATTAGATGTTTTATTTTCCAGAGTCTAAATTTTTTTGAGTTCTTTCTATATTCTGCATATTAGTCTTCTATCTGAGGAATAGCTATCAAAATATCTTTCTCATTCTGTAGGTTGTCTCCTTGTTCTGTTGGCCATTTCTTTTGCTATGCAAAAAATTTTAATTTGATATGATCCCATTTATTGCTTCTTGGTATTGTTTCTTTAGCAGTTGGGATTCTGTTGAGAAAGTCTTTGGCTACATCTATGTGTTCAAGAGTTTTATTTATGTTGAATTCCAGCAGATTGTTTTTATTTCAATATTTAGGTCTTTGGTCTATTCTGATTTTACTTTAGTACAAATGATGAGATACCTGTGTCCAGATTCCATCCCTTGCATGTGCATAACCAGCTTCTCCAGCAGCATTTGTTAAAGAAGCTGTCTTTCCTCCAGGGTATGTTTTTGGTTTTTGGCCCTTTTGTCAAAGATCAGGTGGCTAAACATGCCTAGGGTTGCTTTGGCATCCTCTGTCCTGTCCCACTGATTGACATACCTGTTTTTGTGCTGTTGCCACTCTATTTTTATGACTGTCTTTGTAATGATTTGAAGTCCAGATTTGTGACGCCTCCCACTTTGCTCTTGTTATCCAGAATTGGCTTTGCTATTCTAGGTTTCTTTTAGTTCTGTATGAATTTTTAGGATTGTCTAGTTCTGTGAAAACTACTATTGCTGTTTTGATTTGGATTGTGTTAAATCTGTATGTGAGTTTTGAAATTATGACCATATTGATTATATTGTCTCTGGTACCCAGGAGCATAAGGTATCTGTCCATTTTCTGATGTCCTCATAAATCTTCCCTCAAAGTACTGTAGATTTCTTGTAGAGATCATTCACTTCCTTTGTTAGGTGCATGTCTAAGTGTTTAATTTTTCTTGATGCTGTTGTGAATGGCAGTGTTTTTCTAATTTCTTTTTTGGTGGGTTTATTATTAGTGTACAGGAACACAGTTGATTTTTGTATGCTGATTTTGTATCCTGCTATACTACTGGACCTGTTGATTAATTCTAGAAGTCTTTTGGTTGAATTACTTGAGTCTTCTGTGTAGTGGGTCTTATCACCCAAAAATAATAAAATTTTGACTTCTTCCTTTCCTATACATATCCTTTTTATTTCTTTCTCTTGCTTGATTGCTCTGGCCAATGTTTAAAAGGCTATTTTAAACAGGAGTGGTAATGGTGGAATACTTGATTTTTTACTGATTTTAGAGGGAAAGATTTCAGTCTAATTTAAAATGATGTTGGCCATTGATTTGCTATAAGTGGCTTTTATTAGATTGAGATAAGTTCCTTCTCTATTTTTCATACCTGTTTTTAATCATGAATGGATATTGGATTTTGTTGAAGGCTTTTTCTGCATCAATTGATATGACTATGTGAATTTTGTCTTTGCTTTTGTTTATGTGATATATAACATTTATTGAGTTGTATATGTTAAACTGTCCTTGCATCCCTGAGATGAATCATACTTGGTCAAGATGAATGATCTTTTCAATAATTTATTGGGTTCTGTTTGTCATTATCTTGTTGAGGATTTTTGCATCTCTTCATTAGAGAGATTGGGCTATATGAAAATCTTCTTTATCCATTCACTGATTGACAGGCATTTGGGGTCTTTCCAAAATTTAGCTATTACAAACTGCCACTATACACATGTAGTGTGCATATATTGCTATAGTATATACCAAGGAGGGGAAGATAACAAGACATCAAGAAGGGGCATATGGGGCTGGTGAGATAGTTCAGTGGATTAAGCATCTTCTTTGGCAAGTGCAGGGACCTGAGTTTGATCCCTGATCCCTCATGCCAAGCTGGCCCTGCCCCCAAGGTGTGCTGAGCCTGCAACCAAATCTGGGTGTGGTGGTGCACACCTGTGCTCCCAGTGCTGGGGAAGATGGAAACAGGAGAATCACTATGAGTATGAGCTGTGTAGTGAGACCCTGTACCAAATACATAAAAAGAAAAAAAAGGGGGGGGGGAGGGAATAAGGGTCAAATGGGATCTCTAATCCTAGTTTTTTGAAAATCTCTCTATTGATTTTTGTTGTGGTTGCACCAGTCTACACTCCCACCAATAGTGGAGAAGTGTTCCTTTTTTTCTGCAGCCCCACTAGCATTTATAATTTATTGATTTCTGACAGCTCCACCAGCATTTTTTATTTATTGATTTCCTGAAAATAGAAAAAAAATCTGGGGGGGGGGGAAGTAAAAGGGACTCTCAACTTTGTTTTAATTTACATCTCTCAAATGACCTGTGATGTTGAACATATTGTCATATATTCATTTGCTGTTTGAGTTCTTCACCTGAAAATTGTCTATTTTTTCTTTTTATGTTTTATTTATTTATTTATTTATTTATTTATTTATTTGTATTTTTAAGGGAAGGATCTACAGGGTGTTCAGGGTCTCACTACTAAATCGGACTCATCATGATCCTCTTGTTTACAGCCTCCCAAGAGCTGAGATTACAAGTGCATGCCACTACAACCAGTCTCAGTGTGCCCCAGGGCTGGGGCCGGCACAGCTGGCCCAGGGATCAAACCCCCAGCTGTTGCGCCTGCTTGCAGGAGCTTTAATCTGCTGGGCTATTTGGCTGGCCCTTGTCTATTCATTTTAGATGCCTATTGTTTGGATTGGGTCTCTAAATTTTTTGCCTAAGCAGGTACTTTAGTCCACTGAGTCCCTGGGTCTTTAAATTTGAAAGGTCTGATTTTTAGATCTTTATATATTCTAGATATCAGCTCTTTGTGTGAGAAACAGTGAGTATAATTTTTCCCACTCTGTGGGTTGTCGCTTCACTCTGTTAGTGGTTTCCTTTGTTGGGCAAAAGCTTTTTAATAAGGTGAAATTTCAGCTATTAATTCTTTGTACTATTTTCTTTTCTTTTTTAAAGAGAGAATAAATTAGAATTAAAATAGAAAAAATTAAAAGTGATGCAGAATCTCTATCTATCTATCTATCTATCTATCTATCATCTATCTGGTAATAAACATAACTGGTCAGAAGACAACACTATGTATTACAACAAATACTGTGAAATTTGTATTACTTTGTTAAGTAAAATTCTGTATCACTTTTAATTTTTTTCTCCACCATATTACAATTGAGCTATTAAGATTGTAGCTTCTTCAACATTAACTGGTTCATTTTCATGATGCGGTTGATTAATCCGCTCTTTCTTATCAGGTTCAAGAGTGAGCCTTTTTGAGAAGTGTGCAAGTTCCTTCTGAATGTTTATAAAAGCTTTATTCATTCTGTGCACTTTTTCATCATTCACAATGTTTATCTTCTTAAGATTAGTGGTAACTGGTTTTGTTCTGGTTTTGTACTAAATTTTTTTTTTTTTTTTGGCTGGTTATGTGAAATATGTTCTTGGACTTCTGCCCTCTTAATTTATTCTTGGCCATTGTCTTTGATATCCACATGCAGCTGCTCAAGCTCCAGGGGATGCCATCTCTAGTGTTTCTGTTTTAATATTTAAATCTTTGATCCATTTTGCCTGTAGCTTTGTTCATAGTGATAGGCATAGATCTAGTTTTAGTGTTTGGCCTGTGGAAAGCCAGTTTTTCACAGCACTATTTATTAAAGAGGCTATCTTTCTTCCAGTGAGCCTGTTTGGCCCCTTTATCAACATAAGGTGGTTGAGTATGTTTGTAGTTGTGTCTGCATCTTCTAGTCTGTTCCACTGATCCTCAGGTCTGTCTCTGTGAGTACCATGCTGATTTTATTACAGTAGCTGTATAGTATAATTCCAGGCCAGGGATTGTGATACCTCTTGTCTTTCCTTTGTTTTCCAGGATTGATTTTGATATTCTGAGTCTCTTCTGGCTCCAAATGAATTTGAGGAAAGTTTTCTCTAGCTCTGTGAGGTGTACTAATGGCATTTTAATCAGGATTGCATTGAGTCTATACAGCAATTTTGGGAGTACGGCCATTTTCACAATGTTGGTTCTTCCTATCCAGGAGCATGGAATATTTTCCTTTCTCTCAAATCCTCTTCAAACTCTTTTCTCAAAGTACCATATAAATCTTTTACATCCTTTGTGAGATTGATTCCTAAGTATTTCATTTTTTGGATGTTATTTTGAAAGGCATGGTTTCCCTAATTTCTCTTTCAGTGTGTTCATTCATTGTGTACAAAAATACTACAGATTTTTGGGTGTTGACTTTTTATCCTGCTATGTTGCTGAATTTGGTGATTAAATCTGCATGACTCTTGGTGGTGTTTTTTGGGTCTTCTATGTAGAGTATCATGTCATCCACAAATAATGATAATTTCACTTCTTTTCCAATCCTTATTCCTTTTATTTCTCTCTCTTGTCTAATTTCTCTGGATAATGTTTCCAGAACTATATTGAATAGGAGTAGAGACAGTGAACATCCATGTCTTGTTGCTGCTTTGAAAGTGAAGGCCTTCAGTTTTTTCCCATTTAATATGATGTTGGTTGTTGGTTTCTCATAGATAGTTTTTATCAGTTTGAGATATAGACCATCTATTCCAATTCTCTGTAAGATTTTTTCATGAATGAGTGTTGGACCTTGTCAAAAGCTTTTTTTGCATTGATTGAGATGATCATGTGGTTTTTGTTCTTGGTTCTTGATGTGGGGTATTGCATTTCTGGATTTGCTTATGTTGAACCATCCCTGCATTCCTGGAATGAATTCCATTTGGTCCTGATGTATAATCTTCTTGATGATTTGTTTCATTCTGTTTGCTAGCATTTTACTGTGGATTTTTGCATTCATTAGAGAGATTGGCCTGTAGTCCTCTCTTTTAGTTGGCTCTTTCTCTGATTTTGGAATCAGTAATACTTACCTCCAGGAATGAGTTTGGGAGAATTGCTTCCCTTTCAATTTCATTGAAGAATTTGAGAAAAGTTAGTATTAAATCTTTAAATTTCTTGTAGAATTCTACTGTGAATCCATGAGGACCTGGGATTTGCTTTGTTTGTAGGGTTTTTTTTTTTTATTACATTTTCAATTTTGTTTCTAGTTATTGGATTATTCAGAGTTCGTATATCTTCTTGACTCAGCTTTGGCATTTCACATATTATCTAGGATTTTTTGTTTTTGTTTTTTGTTCCTCGAATGCCTTCAGGGCACTTTTGGCCAGCGGGAGAGTTGTGAGGTTTGAACTCCAGCAACCTGAGGCTGACAGCTTTGTGGAAGCAGCCACTTAAAGGCCTGAGCTAGGGCCAGGCCCCCTTCACATATTATCTAGGAAACTTTCAATTTCCTCTGTGTTTTCCAGCTTGTGAGTATAAAGATTTTTGAAGTAGGTATTGATGATCTTTCGAATTTCTCTAGGGTCTATAGCAATTTTTCCTTCTTCATTCTTCATTGCATGAATTTGTTTTCTTTCCTTTTTTGATTAGGTTGGTTAGGGGTTTATCAATTTTATTTATTCTTTTAAAGAAACAACTCTTTGATTCATTTATTATTTGTATTGTTTTCCTCATCTCCAGTGCATTAATTTCTTTTTTTTATTTCTTTTTTTTATTTTTCAACAAATAATACACTGCATATATTCTTCTTAGTGGTTAATTGCTGTACAACATGCGGACTTGTGATCCTATTTACAAACACCATTAGAACAAATCATTCTATTCATTAACAGAATGTAACTATATATCTATCCCAACCA